CAGGTAAGCGGCTCCAGGGTGGTGGAAAGGGTCCCTTGCTCTTCCCCCTGCAGTGTGGGTGCTCCCCACGAGGAGAAAGAGGTGTTCCCAGGGAGGAGGGGGACTCTCTGAACATTGCTGATGGTTTGCGGGAGCGTGGTACTTGGGGAGCTAGCACACAGGTGGTGCAGAATCAGAGGGGGTCATCTTGCGTGCTGGTACCCAGACTGGTAGTGAGGCAGTTCCAGCAGCCTGTGACAGCAGCTTCGCAGCCCAGGGGGTGTTTATATTTGCCCTTTGGGGCCAAGAACTCTGAATGACCAACAGCTGGCCTTTGTTCTCTTCTTTTCCTTCTCTGTCCTTAAAGATTTCAACTCAACTTTGTTGTCATGCTATGGAGAGCCCAGGGATGTGAGCTCCTCTCAAAAAGGGGTCACCAGGCAGCTCTTCCAGCTGCTCTTGCTGGAAAAGATAGCGAGAAATAAAAACTTGATGGCAGAGCTGAGAAACGAGTTGCTGGATGCAGGTTGGACCACAGAGGCTCCTGCCCTGATTCTGCTCCGGGTGGGATGACTGGGGAGAGGGAAACCCTCTGGAAGGGGCCTCTGATCTCCTGTCCGTGGGCAGGGTGGCAGGAGCACCTCGGAGGAGTTATGTCTGGTGCTGTGCTGCCTCGCAGTGGAAACCTCGAGTACCTAAGAGCCATCCTCTCAGAGACAACCCTTGCTAGGAGCTGCTGTTTGCTGATTCAGCGAGAGGAGCTTTGTTTCCCACTCTCATTTTTGCTGGGCCGAGCCCAGCAGCGCCTGGGTCGGGAGCTGGTGTTCCCCCAGCGTTAACATCTCCGCCCACCGGCCTGGCTCCTCCTCGCAGGAGCGATCTTGCCTTCTGCTGTCCTGGCTGTTTCAGGAGCACAGCCGTCTGCGGGGCAGCTTCTTGTGTCTGGAGCAAGGGCTGGGCGGGCCCAGGGGTGTGTGTCCTGCTGGGGACCACAGCCAACCTGGTGCTCGCCCTTCCTGAACAGAAAAGCTTTGCTTCAGCCACAGGCTTTCCCAGCAGTGGTGGATCTGAGCTTGGATAGTGCTAAGGGATCCTCTCATCTCCGTGTGAGGTCTCGGGGAGAGCTTCTCTAGGGCTGGTGCGGAGCTGTGGGCCGTGACTGCCGCAGCCGCGGGTCCCCTCAAGGCTGAGTGTCTCCCGTTGCAGCAAGCTGCGGCACATCATCGACGAGATGGTCACCACGGAGCGCGAGTACGTCAGGTCGCTCTGCTACATCATCGACAGCTACTTCCCCGAGATGGAGCGCCTCGACCTGCCCCAGGACCTGCGTGGGAAGCGCAGCGTCATTTTTGGGAACCTGGAGAAGCTCTACGACTTCCACAGCCAGTATTTCCTGCGAGAGCTCGAGAGCTGCTGCAACCACCCGCTGCGGGTCAGCCACTGCTTCCTCCGACACGTAAGGCACCAGCACCTTCCCCCTGGGGCCGGGCTCCTCCAGACACGTGCCTGGCTGCTGTGGCCAGTGGTGCCTCCACGTTTGGCTGCTCACCTTTGGGAGCGGGAGGACTACCCTGTGCTGGGCTGGCTTGTCCCCTGCCAACTCGCGTGCTGGGTCAGCCTCTGTGAGGCTGAGCCCTGGCAGCAGCAGATTCTCCTTGCCTTTCCTGTTGCTCTTTGCTACCAAGAGACACTGATAGGGAAGCAAAACGTCTGCTCCTTGAAGCCCACCTGCTTCTTTAGGGACAACCCTCACCCTGTCTTCTGCCTGTGGTGTCCATGTGGAATGACTCCAGTGAGCAGAGAGGTGCAGGCCAGCCACTCTTGTTGGACAGGGCTGCTAGGGAGAAATGTGGGGCACCTGGCTAAAGCTCGGCTGCCTCACACATGTTTGCTGCTACCAGGTGAATGGTTCCTACTGGAGTATGTAATGGGCAAGGGGTAACAGGACAAAGGACTTAAAAGTCCTGGCTGCTGTAGGGATAGGAAGACAAGAACATTCCCCAGCTCTTAATGAGCCTGAAGCAAAGTCATCCCTGATATCATCCAGGAGCAGCCTGGTAGAGGCAGAGGTGCTGGGGATGACCATGCCAGGGGCACGGCCGTTGCTGTGTCTCACGTGGGGGTGGGTCTCTTTTGCAGAAGGACCAGTTTGGGATGTACGCGCTTTACAGCAAGAACAAACCCAAGTCGGACTCGCTGCTGGCCAGCCATGGGAACACCTTCTTCAAGGTAAATTGCTTTTGGTGTTTGGGTCACTGATGTGCTTAAATGAGTAGAAGGGTGTGGGGCTCAGCCCAGGGCTCCGTGGGGAGCTGCTGCCTTCACTCTCTGCTGCCTTTCTCAGTTCAAGCAAGTGCAGCTCGGGGATAAGATGGACCTGGCTTCCTACCTGCTGAAACCCATCCAGCGTATGAGCAAATACGCCCTGCTCCTGAAGGACCTGATCAAGGAGTGCAGCGAGGCACAGGAGCAGGAGCTGGGCTACCTCCGGGCGGCCGAGGAGATGGTGAAGTTTCAGCTCCGGCACGGCAATGACCTGCTGGCTATGGATGCCATCCGCGACTGCGACGTACGTCCCGTGCCCTCCCCTGCCCGGGGTGGGGGTAGGGCAGACTGGCTGCTGGTCCTTGAGCTGGGCGAGCTGCTCCCAGGTGCTTCATGGTGCTGTGAGGCAGCCTGGCAACCTTTGGATCATGTCCTGCAGGCTGCCTCGGGCCCTTCCAGCACTTCTGAGTTGGGGGTGAAGGGGTCGGGCAGTTTGCAAGGAGGAATTCAGCTTGATGCTGATATCAGGAGCAGGCCAAATTCAGCTAGGTGGGACTTGAAGGAGAGGTGTGCAAAGTGTGGCACTGGAGGAAGAGAAATTGTAGGGCTCAGGGTGGAGGAAGATGGGTCTGAGACAGGAAGAACTGAGGGACTGGCCTTCTGACCCAGAAGTGCTCCTGGCAGTGTAATAAAACTCCTTTTCTCTTCAGCTCTCTTCTTGCCCCCTAAGATAATACTCTGGCTGCTGCCTCCAGTTGCCATCCCAGGGGTTTGTCCCAGATCTGCATAGGGTGACAGCAGAGGGTCACCTAGAGAAAAGTGCAGCTCTTCCCCTGAGCTCTGGGCTGGCTGACCCAGCCTGACGTGGCCTCCAGCAGTGCCATACAGCCCCGCCTCTTCAAGAGGCCTCCTAAGATACCAAGGAGCTATCACTTCTTTACCACCTGGGCCACAGCCATATGGGATGCTCCTCTCCATGCCCAAGCCCAGGGCTGCCCAGACCAAATCCTGCTGAGGTCTGACCAGGATGTTCCCTGTGTCCAGGTGAACTTGAAGGAGCAGGGGCAGCTGGTGCGGCAGGACGAGTTCACCATCTGGCTGGGCCGTAGGAAGTGCCAGCGCCACGTCTTCCTCTTCGAGGACCTGATCCTGTTCAGCAAGCCCAAGAGAATTGAGGGTGGCTTTGATGTGTACGTCTACAAGCGCTCCTTCAAGGTAAGGGCAGCCCTTACCTGCAGCTCCTTCCTGTGCAGGACGTGTCCCGGGCTGCTTTCCCCCTGGACACGTGGCTCTGAAATAAGGAGCAGGAGCTCCTCCAGCAGAAGAGCTGCTTCCACCACTCAGCTTCCTCCAAGCCATGCTGTGAAGCCAGAAGAGATTATTTCCCACACGGAAGCCCGGGTCTCTTGCGTGCTGCGAGATGTGGGGCCAAGGTCTTCTGAGGGCCAGGGGCTGGGTGACAGGGTTGGTGGTGCTGACTCTGGATGAGGCTCTGGGATCTGCCTGGGCTGTCTCTGCCCAGCTGTGTCCCACTCCTGTCCCGCTGGGTCTGCCGAGCTGAGGCAGCTCTGACACAGGGCATAGGCAGAGCTGACCCTTTCTGCTCCTGGTGGAGCCCCAGGTGATGCTCTGCTCTTCTCCTCCGGGCAGACTGCAGACATCGGTCTGACGGAGAACTCTGGGGACAGCGGCCTGCGCTTCGAGATCTGGTTCCGGCGGCGGAAGTCCAGTGACACCTACATCCTGCAGGCCAGCTCCGCCGAGACCAAGCAGGCCTGGACCGGTGACATTGCCAAGATCCTCTGGCAGCAGGCGGCCCGCAATAAAGGTGTGATTCCTCCCCGGGGCGTCTGTGCCGCCGAAGGTGCGGGAGCCCTGTTCGGCCCGTGCTGTCCTGAGCAGGTTTGGAGCCTGTGACGCGGCAGTTCTGCGCCAGCTTGAAGCCTCAGGAGCATGCGCTGGGCTTGGCTGAGTGTGTCACTTACCCACCCCTTGTCCCCGGGGACTCGGAATCATGGAGTTGTTTTAGTTGGAAAGTCCTTTCAAAACATTGAGTCCAACCATTCCTGCAGCACTGCCAGGTCCCCACTGACCCATGTCCCTCAGCACCACATCTCCACGGCTTGGAAACCCCTCCAGGGATGGGGACTCCACCACTGCCCTGGGCAACCTGGGACAGGACAAACCTTTTAGTCAAGACATTCTTCCTTATGTCCAACCTCAACCTCTCCCGCCACAACTTGAGGGCATTTCATCTTGGCCTATCTCTTGTTCCTTGGGAGAAGACCCCGACTCCCACCTGGCTCCAAGCTTCTGTCAGGGAGCTGTGGAGAGCCAGAAGGTCTCCCCTGAGCCTCCTTTGCGCCAGGCTCCAGCACCCCCAGGTCCTTCAGCTGCTCCTCACCACACCAGGGCTCTAGACCCTTCCCCAGCTTCGTTGCCATTCTCTGGCCACTCTTGGACTTGACCAGTCCAAGCTCTGTGTGCCTGTAGATGCCCATCTGGACTCTGTGAGAGCAACAGGAGATAGAAGCACGGGGTTCCCTGCCCTGTGAGCATGGCCTGTGCTCCTGAAAGGCTCCATCATCTCCCTGCCATCTAGGCCACTGCTGGCTGCCTGAGTCAGGCTGCCCAAGTCCCCCCTCTCCATTGCAGGCTTCCCGCTTGGCAGGACTCTTGCAGGTGGCATGGCTCTCATCTGCTTGGCCAGAGCAGGGCATGATTGTTTGTCCCTGGAGTTTGGGAGGGTAAGGGGAGAGCAGCTCTAATCTCAGTAGCTCAGGAGCAGCCTGGCCCAGGCGTACTCTGGCCTGGGGCTGTGCAGTGCCCATGGGGAGGGTCAGGTCACCCTCATGACTTGGCTGCGGGTCTCTTCCTTTCCAGAAATCCGTATGCAGGAGATGGTCTCCATGGGTGTGGGCAACAAGCCCTTCCTGGATATCAAACCCAGCGAGGCAGCTATCAACGACCGCGCGATCGATTACATCATGAAAGGCAGAGGTGGGTGCCAGCCGTGCCCACCCCCTCGCCCCAGCAAGCTCAGTGGGGCTGGTGCTTAGGGCTCGCTTGGTGTTCTCCTGCAGGTGCCAGGACCAGAGCATCCATCGCCGTGTCTCTCTTTGACCATTCCAACCCCTTCAAGCGGACGCAGGCGCAGCTGTCGGCCGGCGGTACCCCGGCTACGTACAGCCCTTCCTCCTCCTCCTCCTCCTCCTCCTCCCTGCTCGGGCCGCTCAACCTCCACATGTACCTGGACCAGGCTCTGCTGCCCAGTGTCCTGGGCTCCAGCCGCCCCTTCGACGTTGGGACCTGCATCGAGGAAGACGAGCTGGAGCACGAGACGAGCAGCCAGCCCTCGATGAGTATGTGCGAGCAGGGGCCTGGCCTTCCGTGCCAGGGCTGCCTCAGCTTCTGTGGGGGGAGTTTGCTTGGATGCAGGCATTGGGAAGGTCACCGTGGATCTGCAGCTGTGCCCATGGCCAGCCTGGTGCCTCACATTAGGGCTGCCGTGGCCTCGGTGACCAGCACTGGTGTCTCTGCCCTCTGGCATGAGGTGCTGTGTCTGCTGACCCCTTGGCTTCCCTTGTGGGAACTGCCCTGGCTGGTCCATGCCCATCTCCAGCATCATTTCCTGCTCTGCCTTGGGTTGTTGCCCATGGGTTTAAGTAGGCCAGCACAGGAGCGTGGCTCACCATGGAATCGTTTTGTTTGGAAGAAACCGTTCAGATCCCCAAGTCCATCCATTCCCCGGCACTGCCAGGTCCCCACTGACCCGTGTCCCTCAGCACCACATCTCCACGGCTTGGAAACCCTCCCAGGGATGGGGAC